CCAAACTACTCTGTCCTGGGCTTCCCTCTCCACTTCACCGTTCATGTCAGTCAGTCAGTCAACGACATAGAACTTCATACGTACGTACGTACATCAGTTCAAGTTGTTGTAGCATAGAGACGCAACTGTCACTTCAAATCCCATAGTAGTTGAGGCAGTATATGCATTATCAGTAATCGGAGAAATTAGGGTTTGACGATATCATTCAAGAAGTGGAATCTAGTGAATGAAACTTAGGAAGAAAAAAATAAAGGTGATGAGGAATTCAGAAGGTTGTGATTTGAGAGAACACCAAGAATGAATGAGTCTACCTGAGCCATTGCAAACGATTTTGAGCCATTTAATTCAGAGTATCTAACCGTCGATTATTACCATCTCTTTTGCCTCAACCAGGTTGTCGACACCTACCGACATGACTCAGTCCATCTGTTAGTGATTCCATGGACTTGTGCGATGTTTTGGTTTGGCCTCCCCTAGCTTTCTTCTGCTATATCGCAAAACATAGCTTGACGAGGCAGTCGATGGTTAAGCATAAGCAACACATGTCCCAACTACCTTAACTGATGAATTTTTTTAGCGAGTTATTTTTTCGCAGGATGCGTTCGTCAAACCCAAAGCCCAGCCATCCTCTTTTCTCAGGGCTTGAGGCCGGCAGTAGCCTCAGATGGTGTACAGACGGAGTTCACATTCCATACCTTAACTGTAATTACTTTTGGACAGAGTTGCTTGGTAGTTCAAAATTTAGTGACATTCATTTGTGTTGATTAGAAATTTTATTAATGTTCTCATAGAAATTAAAATCATCCTAACAAGCTTCTATGAAAGCTAATGCTAGAATAGAAAACAGTCACACAATTAAGTCTTTCAATGAATAGGTTATTTACTAAGCCGAAGTTTTCTTTTGATCAGATTATTTTCATCAGTTAGATTTAACTTATGTTAGTTCGAGTATTTTAGAATCCAAACTGAGATTTGGATTGAGAGAGATAACTGTTCAGGTAGGTTAGATATGCGTCTTGACCCAGCTGACATCCAAAACAAGTGAACTGGGTAAATAACGGTTCTAATTTTTCATCATAAATATAAATATACATCATTATCTAAACAAATATTACCGCCCAGTTATTCCGCCAACAATTGTTTAGCTAATCAAATCAACTACAACAAATAAATGTTATTCTATCCCTACTGGATAGATCACATTCGTTCGACAGATAATATTTAGTTGCCTTATAACACAGAGTGTTTTCTATTCTGGAAGAGTGCTTCGATTCACAATCAAAATGCACAATTCCAGTCAGTGCAACCAATCCAATCAAAATAGGAACAAATTAATATGGCTGTCGTCATGACTAAGAGTATCAGCTTAAACAACGTAGGAACTCTGTAAAGGCAGAAGAAGAAATGGAAACTATAATAAATTACAAATACTGTCATCACAAAATAGAATCGAACAGTCTAACAAAATGTACAACTGAAAGAATCTCAATAAGAACAAATTACAAATGTATACATACATGGAGGGATTTTCACAAACAAAGCCTTCAAAAATGGATCTTACAGTATGATTGTTTGAATTTGTTGATATTAGTTTGATGAATTGTAGATTTTTTTCTAAAATTTAAATTAGGGACAGTATAACGTATATGCTTTAACTGTTACAACGTAGATGGATATCAAGGATAATATGACATCATTCACCTAGGGCATTGAATGTTGGCAGTTTTATTTTCTTCAATGTACCCTGCAGCTTTCCTAAAAGAATGGTTGATCTGGTTGTCAGAAAAAGGCATCGGCCTCGTGAGTTCCGAGGGAACTGGGCTTTCATCACGCGATGTCATAATTGTTCTTCCAACTCCCAGGACAGAGTTAAAATGATTTGATTTATTTTTTCTGGTTAGCGTTTTTTGGGCAAGTTAGTTTTCAGTTGGGACGGCAGCGCCAATCCCATGTCCAACCCCTCCTCCTTTATCCGGGCTTGGGACCGGCAGTAGCTCCGAAGTTTCTGCTGGCAGCTTTCCACTCCATCGACGTATGATAAGAGTAAACAATAGATCGGTTATTTGCTAGTGGCTAACACAGGGTATAGTAATATAACTGCTTTGTTCATCGATAGACTCATGAAACAACAACTGTTAGTCGACTGAACTTGTAAATATCAATCATTATATAGTAACTCATTGATCTTATAGTAACATTTTCGCTGTGGAACGTGAACGCTCCAAGTTCATTCCTTGATTCAGTCGTGATTGTGCACATCTATGGAGTGATCTCACAGTGAAATGGTAGAAAAACTCAGTAATTCCAAGTGTTCACTGATTGACTAAGTTAACTCAGTGTAGATGGGACAAACAACCACTACATTTGACGGTAGTCTATTCAAGAGCTATTAAAGAACTAAAATCCAGTGATCATTGAAACAGGTACTCCTTCCTAACTAAGAACTATTGATTATTCTATCATCTCTGTAACTGAATGATTGTGGTATGACAATTCAAATCATCTCCAACAGTGATCACTAAAAGTCAACCAAAACTGGCGAATGACAGAAGATCGAATAATGCCAACATTTTACTGAAGTCAGAAATGAGAACAACTAGATGTCAACTCACACTGGTCAAATAGTTGAGTATTCCAATTTAAGTTCGGAAGTTTTGCGCATCATCTTCGTTGAAGTCATAGATGTGCCTTGATTGATAGTCCCATACTTAGAACTAAACAGTTAAACCTCAGAGTTTCCAGTGACTATCTAACCAAGTTGATTTTGTAATGTGAAACTTCAACTTTAACAATCTCTAGAACATAACATTTTTCTAAAAGTATTTGTGTCACTTCTAGAATTTCTTTAATGATTAAAATGTCAGCTGGAGAAATTCGTTTGATTATTCATAGGTTCATTGGTTAACTGTCAATCATATTCTATTTATTTACAATGTGACATTGTATAGTGTTTTGTAATTAAGTTGGCATAATAATGTCGAAATATGAGAAACCTACTTATTTAGATACATGGATGGATTTTCACAAACGAAGCCTTCAAAAATGGATCTTACACAAACTTAAGATATAAGTGAGGTGTTCTCATTTCTCCTCGTTTGACCTGTAGCTTGTTCTGTTAACCTCGATCTTGATTGGCTGTTGTTGTTGACCTTAAATCTATCGTTGTTCGCACCTTTGTGTAGACTGTATCCTCCTTTTGATCTGCTTCTTGATCCTATGTCATCTGTGATTTTCCGAAAGATCCAGTTCAGAGAAAGAAACACCACAACAAGATTTCATATTCTATGAACTTATCAGTTCACAAAACACAACTACAATGACACTCAAAAAATAAATTGTTATTTTTATTTTTGGGCAGAGTTTTGGAGGTTTTGTGTTTTTACACATTTGAAATCATCAATCAATCATTGTTAGACCAACACTAGAAACGTGAAAGAAGCACTGGATGGCCGGTGTTAATGACTAACTCTGATTGATCTACGGATTTTTTCGCGACCTCGCCCATTTGTCTCTGGTAGTTACTGCCTACACCTGACAGGGTTCAACTCCATTAGTCACGTCTTCTCAACTAGAACTCCGAGAAATTCCTCACGCGCGAAAATCCGTAGATCAATCAAAGTTAGATATTAACACCGTTGGATGCCGGCCCAGTGGTCCGATGGTTATGCGTTCACGCACAATACTGAAGGTCCCTGGTCCGAATCCTGCGAGCTGCAGGAGTCGTGAATGCGCACCGCTGATGAATCCCATACCAGGACGAAACGGCCATCCAGTGCTTCTTTCAGGTTCCTAATGTTGGTCTAACAATGATTGATTGATGATTTCAAATGTTATTTCTATGTTTCGTTTCGAATCAAAACAAGAAAACGTCTTACCATATTTATGTAATTTGAAAATATTTATCAAAATATAACATATGGGCTTAAGAAATTCAAATAATTATGTTCATCTAATTGGATAATTAACTTTTAACCAATCAGAATTCATTATTGAATGATCAAAAATGATTGAGCCAATTATCAGTGACCATTTTTATTTTGTCCTTATATTTTCAATTTCATCGTTTACATTTTTAATCTAGAATATAATTGAGAGGGAAAAACATGGTAGGGTAATTTTTTTACTTAGTTTATCCTCATTATCTCTTTCTTTCTAGGGAAAAATAAGATAATAATAATAAGAGGAAAATGGGATAAACACATAATAATAATCATCATACCGAAACTTTACTTTCTCTCCCCCTTCTCATAGTAATAATTCTTCCCTGAATATTAAAAATTATGAAATTATCTGTGTTCACCTTCTTCAATTATGAATTACAGAGAGACAGAACAGCAACAAACTTTTTCTACCCTTTTTATCTCCACCAACATACACCTACACACACACACACACAGACACATTTATAATTCCTTATTCAACAAGGTTTACAGTTTAATGTTTTATTAATAATAAGGTAAGTTGATATCCACCGGTAATAAATGAGTTACTGCTGAAACAATTTTTATACTGTTCTATAGGAAACTATTTAAAAATCAGAAAGTAGTATTAGAGTTTGGAATTTTACTGAAGTGCCTACTGGTGATGCGACGCGAATTGAAAGACAGTAGCAATATAATTGAACATTTAATCGAGAAATTTCCAACTGACCATAAAGATTTGAACTTCGAAATTTGAGCTCCAGTAATCAGTCACCTTTTTGATAATTTAATGTCAAAGCGTCAGAGATAAAGTTTTTCACAATACAAGAATCGATAATGATAGTCGTGTATCATATCTTGTGTTTAGTCATCATAAATAAATAACGACGAAACCGATTTACTGTCGTCTTAGCTCAGAACATGATGAAAACCATTTTTTTGCTATAAATTGGTTTGTACTTGATATTAAGAAAACGGAATAATTAAATAGAAATCATTCTGATTTATTTAACTGTATATATATTGTAGCTTAATCGATTCCCGACAGACATCATCATATTTTTTGACTTCGAGAAAAAAATGAACACTTTCAAAGGAATATCCTCATCAAATTTTTGTACCAACATTTCAAATGATACACCTTCAATAAATTTTCATATTCAACGATTATTATACTCATCAGATCATGAGAATTTGTCTTCAAATGATGTGAATATGAAACGAACTGCAACGACCACAACCTCGACTGCCGCCACCACAACCGCCATTACAACAACAACCAATGAGACAATCAAATATCACTCTGATGACAAATATCAACCACTCGTAAATAATAAAGATCAATCTGACCTAAGTACAACTATTACACAATTGTTAAATACATATAGTCCAGAGAAATTATCACTATTTACAAAATTAACACAAAATCTATACGAAAATAATCTTACAACAACTCCGACGGAATTAGAATGTTTTCTAAAAACAAAATTAGACATGACAAAAAGTGTGGAGTCTTTTCAACAACAACAGCAACACGAAGTTGATGTGAATAGTTTGAGAAAGAAATTATTTTTATTGACTGATGAACAAAAGCATCATCATCTTCATCATCATCAGCAACAGCAACAGAATCATGTTCCTAGTTATCATTATCCTAATCAACAGGATAATCATGGACAAGAAGATTTGACACTGAAAAAAACCAATGAACACTATGAAGAGAATTTAACAATGATTAAAAATTTAATTAAAGATTATATGAATAGTCAGAATGTTGTCACAAAAACATTACAGGATGAATCGAAATCGCCCATATTCTATCCAACTAATCATAATAATAATCATGAGAATATTAGCCATAAGATTGATAATGATACTACTAACTATGCACAAAAAGTTTATGAATTTTTAACTAATGAATATGGTGGGACGCATAATCTGTTACCGTTCATGTTACATAATCCTGGTAAGTTGAAAGTTATTGATTGTGTTTTGGTGAAAATATATTCATTATTTAGTTGAAATTGAATTCGAAAAAAAAATTGAGTAATAACTTTTTCAGAAGCTAGGTTTAACACTAACTGATTATTTAATAGTCATCAGTTAAGAGATATTCTGCTGGTGATCGATTGGATTATGAAGAGGGAAGCACGTTATCTAATGGACAGCTAGGATGTAGCTGGACGATCTGGATTTCTCAGATGTTTTGGTTCTTCTGTCGCACACGCAACAACAAATGCAAGAGAAGACGACCAGTGTAGCAGCAGCCTCTGCAGTAGCAGGTCTCCAAATACATAAATGATACAACACTACATGCTCAAACCAAATCACTCTTGATGGAGATGCCTTGAGGGACATTAAAACCTTTACATATCTGGGCAGCATCATCGACAACCAAGATGGATCCGATGCAAATGCGAGGACGCGGGTGCATTTCTACGATTGGAAAAAACTATCAATCAACACCAAAATCAGGATTTTCAATACAAATGTCGAGACAGATCTGCTGTATCTGTCGGAAACTTGGAGAACTACGAAAGCCATCATCCAGAAGATACAAGTGTTTACTAACAGTTTACTATGTAAAATACTTTGGATCCGCTGGTCAGACACCATCAGCAACAATCTACTGTGGGAGAGAACAAAACAGATTCTAGTGGAGGAAATCATTAAGAAGTGGTGGAAGTGGATAGGACACACATTACGAAAAACACCCAACTGGATTGCGAGACAAGCCCTCACTTGGAACTCTCAAGGTAAAAAAAGTCCAAGAAACACATTACACCGAGAAATAAAGAAAGAAAAAAGTATGATGTACAAAACTTAGACAGAACCGGAAATGGGAGCCCAGGACAGAGTAGACTGGAGAACACTGGTGGTGGTATATGCTCCATTCGGGGTAACAGGCGCAAGGAAGTAAGTAACTAAGTAATTGTGATATAGATGTCTGTGGTACTAAAGAGTAACACTTACTGATCACATTTGGTAGCCGTTTAGTAGATAATATTAAAACATAGCGGTTTTTGAAAAATTTCTTGATCACATCACTTTAACATGAATTGAATTCCACTCGAGCACACAATGAAAGCCCTCCTTTCCTAAGGATTTAAATAAACAAAGCCGGTCTTTATGTTCAGAAATCAAAGAAAAATAAGAGTATGAAATTGAGTAAAATTTAGAACTAGTTTATTCCTTACCTCAAAATTATTTGTTTTTTTAAATACTGAAACTTTGAGAATAAAAAAATTAAACAGCAGCCATAGTGCACTGATAGATGAGGTCTTTTTAGTTTGAGGAAACTTCCCAAAGAGAAATCAACAGAGGTCCATAACTCAGATCAAAATGAATAGATGTGTTCCTCACATCTGGATATATTTTTACGAAGGGCAGATACATAATTCACCTCGTGGACTACTACTTTTGGTAGGTAAATCCAACCTTTACACAAATAAATAATAACTTTTGTTGTCTACCACTTATTCAATACACTTTTGAAAACTAATTCTTCACCTTTTAGTTCTGTTGTAAAACCTCCATAATTACACATTTTTACCAGGGTGAAAACCAGGAGTTGCATAACTTATTAACGGTGATTTTACTTTACTTCTTCAATAACTAAAGCTTACGTGTCTTGAGAAACTGTTCTTTCCCGTCTCTTGTACGACCTATCATCCATCTCCTATTTAAAAAAAATGCCTCAAGCAATCTTGCCATCTGGTAAGCCACTTTCACCCTCTTCAAGTTCCAATAAAATGAACAGGTTATTAACGCATGTTGAATGATTGTCTACAGTCAGTCCTTCTCAATATATATCAAACTGTTAGATTTAGTCTAAGTCAATGAAAGTACCTAAACATACTACTAAGAACGCATGATATTTATTATTTATTGAAAATTCTGTCTTTTATATGAACAGGCTACATATTTCTAGTACTACTGTAGTGAATGAGAGCACAGGTGGGGCAACCGAATTGTATTTAACGAAAATTACAGAGTTACTCAGTAAAATTGGAAAACCATATCGTAAATCGTTAATTTGCAAAATATCAGTCCATCATCATATCGAACTGGACTGTTCCTGTTGCAAAACATCAATCCATTGTCACTATTCATGTGTTTCATACAAATTCCATTGTGTTCTTCTAACTCTTCCTTTCTTGATCTTCCTCCATCTTCTGCTGCCAGACATTACGTTGACACTCATGTCATATACTACTTATAAGTAGCTCACACCACACTACTCGAAATGATTTGCAAATTTTTGTACATTACTTAACCTCAGATATTGTAGTTCATTGTTTTTCTTGGACATATGAAGGTAGATTTCTTTTTCCTGCATAGTATATTAAAAGCTTTGATGAAGGTAATTGAAGATACTTTAGAGGTTAACATAAGTAATGACTGTGTGGCAGTGGCAAATGTGATAGATTGAACGGTGGGCTCACCAGATTTGTGGTGGCCAATTTCGACGTGTTCTTAAGGTCGGTAATTAACTCGTCCAGACAATTGTTACTAAATAGCGTCTGACGGTTTACAAAATCAGAAGGTAAACATGAAGTGTTGAATACGTTTATTTTGGGCACACCACAAATAGGGATAGCAGACCACAAGCAGACCGGGCAGTCACACTAGCGAGTGAATGAGCGAGTGCGTATAATAAGATTAAAATGTTTGTATATATACAAAGGAAAATGTCTGAGTCATTGCGGTATTTAAGAGATCAATATTAAAGCGAATAGGATGCATATGCGCGTAGGCGTTAAGCAATGCTCAGTCATACCAGCTCATACAAACCACACAATAATAAAAGCCAATGGTACATATAAGTTATTGTTTTACAAATGGCTTGGTTAAATAAATTAATCGAAAGGGCTTAACCAAATTAAATGTAAGCGAACTCGAATATACGTGGAGGCACTACACCTGTAAGTGAATATCTGAAATCCTACAAACAGCTGGCTAGTTAACGTTATTCTTTACACTCTCCATTCACATTCTACTTCATCGTAACTCTCATCTCAGAACAAGACTCAAATGTGTTAAACTGCATACAAGTAAATAAAAGTAAATATAAGCTCTACCATAACTAATCTACTAAATAATTTTTATTGTTACACATCCAGGCATGTCATTCATCGATGTAAAGATATGCTCTTTTCTTTTGAAAGATGTAACTCTACCCTAGAGCCCTTTGGGAGTGACCACTTGTTGACGGTTAGGTAAAGAGGAAGAATAAGGTACAGGGTTAACAATCCAGTTTATATTGCAACATCAGTGAAGGAAAGTGGTTGACATATTCTAAATTGCACTGAACATTTACTAGTAAAATAAAGTGTTATTTTACATGCTGACATCATTTTTTATATGTAGTCAAAAAATTTATTGTACAGAAATTAAAAAGTACTTCAGCTTCAGCGGATTTAAACAGTTCTGTGTAGATTTTTTTCGTAATTCAAAGCTAATATTTGTGTTACAAATCAATCATATTACAAAGTAACTAAAGTT